AGGATTGAACTCACAACCCTGGATTTAGCAGACCACTGTTCAAACCACTGAGCTATGGAGCAAACAGTCAATCAGCACAGGGCACATTACTAATTATATGATATATAAAGACAAATTAAAAATATCATTACCTGAAATAGATACACATCTCCAAAAGAATTGCTGAGGCAAAACACATTTTCCTTCTTGGGATGTTCAGGGACAGACTGCACTATGCTGTCCTCTGCAAACAGAGCATATCTTGGTGAATTGCTCTGTTCCACGGAATTCCTGCCATAAGTCTCATAAAACAGCAGGGTACAACCTTTGAAAAAAAGAGAAACAAAGTGAGCTTCCAAAGTTCTTTTACGCTACATGCGGTAGGAATAAAGAATTAAGATGCAAGACACACTGCTGTCCACCATTGCAGTTTAAAAGAGAAGTATTACTAAACCAAGAGAAAAGCAAAGGTTAATGGTGGCTTTGTCAATAAGAAGGGAAAACTGATAACTAATAAACAGGAAAAATGTTTCCTGAAAGACAGACTTGGGCTGAAAAAATAAATTATAGCTTAGTAAACTTAGAATGTCAAAATGCTAGAGCAGTGGTTCTCAACCAGGGATCTGGGGTCCCTCAGGCATCCACGAACAGGTTTCAGGGGGTCTGCCAAGCAGGGCCAGAATTAGACTCACTGGGGCCCAGGGCAGAAAGCTGAAGCCTCACCACATGAGGCTGAAGCCCGGGACTCTGAGCCCCACCACCTGGGACTGAAGCTGAAGCCTAAACAATGTACCTTTGTGGGGGCCCCTGTGGCATGGGGCTCCAGGCAACTGCCCTAATGCCAGCTGTGGCTTTTGTATGCAGAAAAGTAGTTGCTGTGGCACTGGTGGGCCCTAGAGTTTTTATTGCACGTTGGGGTGGGGGTGGGGGCGGGGGTTCAGAAAGAAAAAGGTTGAAAACCTCTGTGGCTAGAGCACATAGAAAGGCTGCTCAGCTGAAGAAGCTGTTGTGTTTATTTAATCATTTATGGAGCCAGTTTTCTCTCACCCAGTCACCTGGGAAACCTTAATATTTGCTAAAGGGGATTAGCAGACGCTCAGTACTTTTGATCTTCAAATACTGTAGAAAATGAGTAAGCATCTCTGGAGATTAACTTTGGTTCCCTTGTTTCTATCTGCAAATTCTGTAGTAAGACATTGATCACTATCCAAATAACTTGGATGTTTTAAAGGATTTCCCTTTCTTGGACTGCATTCTCAGTTTTTCAGATAGAATGACATGCCAGATAGCTGATTGCCACATCTGCATCCTGGAACTAAAACTCAGTAACTAAGCTGATAATCATATATATATATAATCTATTTATATTATAATATATTATCTATTATCAAATTTCTCTTCTAGACTGCAATCAGGTCACCCCAACCATATATATCTATATCTATATCTATATCTATATCTATATCTATATCTATATCTATATCTATAAAGAGATGGTTGGGGTGACCTGATTGCAGTCTAGAAGAGAAATTTGATAATAGAGAGGTCTTCAGTCTAGCAGACAAAGGGTATAACAAGATCCAATACCTGGAAGTTGAAGCTACACTAATTCAGACTAGAAATGAGGTGCAAATTTTTAACAGTGAGGGTAATTAACCACTGGAACTATTTACCAAGGATTGTGGTGGATTATCCATCACTGGCAATTTTAAAATCAAAGTTGAATGTTTGTTCTAAAAGATATGCTCTAATTTAAACAGGAATTAATTCAGGGAATTCCTATGGCTTGTGTTATACAGGATGTCAGACTAGATGATCACAATGGTCCCTTCTGGCTTTTTAATCTATGAATATATATCTGTCCTGAACTATAGAAATATACAGTAAAGGGTTTGAAACTGAGACAAACAAGGATTAACATTCTACCTTTTTCCACCATTTTTCAAATTAGGAGCCACTGTAATACAGTTTAGGGCCAAAATTTAAGTTTTGCTATAAAATGGTGATTGTGAGAATAGTGGTGCGTCTCTATGTGTGTGCACGCACGCGCGTGTGAGTGCTCTTATGGTGGTGTGTGATGGGGATGTTATACAACCTAAAATACAAATAGAAATGTTTCCGTTTTATACATTCTTTTAAAAATAATTAATTGAAAACAGATTTCCTCCCCCATTTTTAATGTTCCCCTGACTAGTGTTGGAAATCCAAAATCACAGCATTCTAGTTCATGAGAACTGGAGGTGCAACCTGGGTCACCAAGTTTAGATGTAAAACCAGCTCCAGCTTCAAATGTCCTCACAATTCAGGGTTGTTTGGATTCTGCTCTCCAGTTTAACCCATTATAGAAATAGGTGCATGTTGGCTGTTAAGGACTTATGGAGTTTGGAGCCAATGTTCTCGTTGTGACCCATCTCTAGAGAATTAAGAGAAACAAAAGTGAATCTGACCAGTCTCATTTCATTCTCTAGTGTGAATTAAATATAAACAGTAAATTCAGAAATTAGCACCCAGGTGGCCTGAGTGCTAGGTTGATACTCAGAGGAAAGAATTCTCTCCCTAATATACCCCACTGAGATCACTGCAGTCCAATAGCTGGAGCAGCCTACACAGACATTTATGTGCCCTTCGCTACAAACACATACACACCTAGGGTGTCTGACATCACTGGCCAGTGTAGCCGCAGCTTTATCCCCAGCCTGCTATGCTCTGCTTCCCCATACAATAGAGCCACACTAAGGACTCTGTGCAGATGCAGTGACAGGGGCATGATTTGCTCTGAAATAAGAGGTATTGCGCCTAGTGTAGTCACTTATAGCTCAGCAGAGTGGGCGTAGCAGTACCAAATCCAAATTCTGCACTTGCATACATCAGCAGCAGCGTTTTACAGCCACTATGTACACACACACCTTGCACAGACATAACTGCGTTATGAGGTTATGCACAGACTGGGTTAGAGGTTTAGAATTCAAGCCTAGTTTTAACGGGTTGGTGCTTTGTTCTTGTATATATTTCCCAGTTTTCTTCAGTCAGAAAGCACTGTACCATCTCAAAGTATTTTTGACTTATCTGGATTTACTGTTCTGTTTATAAAAAGTGTAAATTACATTATTTTTAAATTCTTTCTAATACCCTCAAGGTGTTATAAGAACATAAGGAAGGGTATTTTAATATATATTTTTATCCTGGTAGTTTTCCACTAATAGTAAGGTTTTTTAGAGGAGCAGGGCATGTTTTAGAGTTCAGCCAAGTAACAGCAGAACTATGATCCTTATAAATAGATAGGTCCACACATTCTCCCTATTCCTGATGCTGCACTGGAATGGATTATAGTCTATGTGTTTCGATCAAAGTTTGTACTGAGGGGGAATTGGTGGGAAAGCAATTTCCCTTGTTAAAATAAATTAATTAGAGGGGACAGATGGGAAGAAGAGTTCCCCTCGTTAAAGGTTTACTATTCAAG